GGAAGGACTCTGAGGCACAGGGGAGAAGGAAGGACTGTGAGGCACAGGGGACAACGAAGGACTGTGAGGCACAGGGGAGGACTGTGAGGCACAGGGGAGAAGGAAGGACTGTGAGGCACAATGCACAGGGGTGCGCAGCCCTGCAGCACAGGGCACATGAGAGGCTCTGGTGCGAAGGACACGGGCGGCCGCTCAGGGCGCCCAGCCGGCGCTCGGGGGCCGTGGAAGGAGCCCCGGGCCGGCACCAGGCCCCGCGGGCGGGCGGCCCGGCCCCGCCGCGCTCCCGCCCCGCCGTCCCGTTGCCGTAGCGACGCCTCGCGGCGGCCCCGGCCCGGCGCGGCCGCTTTAAGAGCGCGGCGCCCGCGGCCGCCCCCGCCCGCCGCCCGCCGGAAGGGGCCGCGAGCCCGCGCCGCCGCCGCCCGGCCTGCCCCAGGTAAGCGCCGGGGCCGCCCCGCCCGCCGGCCCCCGCCGGCCCCCGCCCGGCCCCCGCCCGCCCCCGCGGCTCCCGGCGGCGGCGGCGCGGGCTCGGAGCGCGGGGCCGCCCCCGGGGCGCCGCTCGCTGGAGCCCCGCGGCGCTCCCGTGGGCTCCCGGTGTGCCGAGGGCACCGCGGAGCCGCTCCGGCGTGCCGCTGCCCCCGCCGGGCCGCGCCGGGCTCCGGGACGGGACGCGCCCCGGAGCCCCGCGGGGAAAAGCGAGTGCCGGGGCTTTGTTCGGCCTCTCCGCCCCGCCCGGGGGTTCCCGCCGGGCTGCGGATCCCCTGCCTGGTTCCGGCCCTTCCCGCCGGTGCTTTTGGTTCCCGCAGCCCGGCCGGTTCCGCTGCCCCGCCGGCGGCTGTGCGAGGTGGGAGCGCAGCCCCGGCGCGGTGCGGTCGAGTTTGTTCGGCTCCGTCCCTGGATCTGGTTCTTCCTCGCAACTTTGAGAGTTGGGGGCTCCTGCTGCCTCATTGCTTGTTTGCCTGGGGTTTTTCTCCCTGTGGAAAAAAGAGCTTTTCATTTGTCTTTTCTTTAAGCAGACCTCTATATGGAAACTTTGCTTTGAAAGTTTTATTGCAGCCTTTGTTGGTTTATGCCGCTGCTTGTTCGTTTGTGAGTTTCACCATCCTTCTGTTTTTTGTGTTGGATGCATGGTTCCTTTGGCTGCTCTGCCTTCTAAATTATCTTTAATGGAGAGGTAAGATGGGGAAAAGATAAAATATGAGAGAGAATCCGGGACTGTTTTGTGTCAGCTTCTCTAATTGAAATTTTGTAAGCCAAAGGGGAAAGAAAAGAAAAAGTGATCAAGTAGAGCTCAGGGCATTTTGCTTTGTTGGAGGCAGAGAGGAAAAACTTATGAGGGAATGACTGAGATTTTGTTTCACTTTATTTCTCTTCTTCTGAGGCTGAAAGATAAACAAGCATTTTGAAATGCTTTGGTTCAAAATGCCGAGCTCTTCATTTTCTCTTCAGCTGACTCCATTAAAAAAAAATCTTTTAAAAAAATGTAGAAGCAGCTCTGCAGTTGCGGAGCCAGCAGCAGTGGTGTGTGTGGGCAGAGAGGCTTTGCTGCTCTTCCATCAGCCATTCCTGCCTTGTCTCTGTGGACTATAAAATTAGAAAGGCTCCGATGTCCATTCAGTCTGATGTCTGGGTAATGTGGCCTGTGGAAATCAAGAGGAGCTCTCTGTGAATTAACTGCTGCTCGTGGCTTGCTCAGCCTGTGGGTTCTGGCCTCTGGTGTATAATTAGAAAAGTAATTGCATTTTAAGAAGCCTTAAATCTATTATCCAGGTGTATGCTTGTCCCCTGGGCAGGTATCAGGTGGTGTGAGCTCTCTTTTGCTGTGAGCAAATGATCTCTGTCCTTCTGATGGTCTCAGACTGCAGTCTGACATTTGCAGCATCTTAGAACCACTGAGTTTGAGTTGGAAAGGATCTTTGAAGCTCTTCTAGTCCAACCCTCCTGCAGTGAGTAGGAATATATTCAACTGTCCCAGGTTGCTCCAAGTCCTGTCCAACCTGGCCTTGGACAATTCCAGGGGTGGGGCAGCTACAGCTTCTCTGGGCAACCTCTGCCAGAGCTTCCCCACCATCATTTCAAAAAACCTGCTTTCTCATATCTAATGTACATTAGAAGCCTTATCCCTTGTTCCACTTAACTTAAAAACTTTAAAACATCCAAGAGTGAGACCTGAGGCTCCCTGTGCTTTTCCTCCCTTGGAAATGGCCCAGGTAATTTCCTCCTTCCCCAGAGCTGTCTCCTTGCCTGTCCTAGGAGTTTCTGTCTTTCCAATTCCAGTCAGTGTCCAGGAAGGTTTTTATTTGTCACATCTTTCCTGAATTTATTTTATGTGCGCACTGAGAAGCCTGGCCATGGGGAGCACAGGTCTGTGGTGAGGGATGGAGAGCCAAGAACAACTCCAACTGGCTGTAATTGAAAACTGTCAGCTTTGCAGCAAAGGAGGATGTTCAAAGCATGTGGCTTGGGATAACACTGAGTGGAGAATTGGATCTTCAGTTCTAAAGAAAGTTAGAATGCCCAGATCCTGGGGAGTTCTTTTGGGGAGCTCAAAGGTGAGATGGCAGTAGGGCTCTGGATGGATTTCCTTCAGAGGTGCTGCTTTGTGCTGTCCTTCTGCACCATCTGCTGTGGTAGCTGTTCTGGAGATGTCCTAAAGTGACTTAGAATATCCAAGTCATGGTGTCTTGGAAAAGTCTGCTTGTTCCAGGTTTCTTGCCCTTTCTTCCCTTCAAGGTGGCTGTTTCCCAGGGAGGTTGGGTGCAGTGGGGGTCTGTGCCCTGGAGGGACCAGCAGAAGGTTTTTGGGTGACAGAAGAGCGGTGTGCCCACCCAGGTGTCAGGTGCATTAGGAAACTCCTGGCTGGGCTGAGGCAGCATGGGGCAGGTGGGGGCATGGGAGAGGCCTGGGCATCCAGGAGGAGACTGGAGTTTGGAAGAGAGGCAGTTCTAAAGAAGAAAATACTCACCATAGCAGTAAACAGCACAGAATAGCTGCTTCTGCCCAGTGTGGGTGAACTTCATGCAGTTCCTCGATGAGCTTGTGGGTGAAATTCCCTGTTTCATTCCCCAGCATGCTGCCATCCTCCTGGGCTGTTGTATCTGCTGGTGTTTGCCAGACATTGCCTAAACTGCTCTTAAACTGCAGCTGTTTTTGCAGGTTCCCAGTTACTGCACAGTTGTTCTTACTGTGTTTATTTTAGTGGTTATAAACTGATTTTTAAAAAGGACTTGGAACCTGAGCTGGAAAGTCTCCTTTTTCTTCTTCTTTCATGATTTGGTTGAGGAGCTGCACCAGAGGAGCCAGCAGCTGAGCCCTTCAGTATTGCCCCCCTCCCTTTATACTTTGAATGTTTTGAGCTGTAGATTTCTAGGAATTTGGGGGCAGTTGTCCTGTACCTTGATTTTAGTAGTGGACATCAGTTTGGGGTTGGGGTGAGCGGGGTGTCTGCTCTTAATTTGGTATAATTAGGAATTTGGCTGGTGAGTAAAAAGCTTGAAGGAGACCTTTTTTTTCTTTGTCATAACAGTATGTTTAGCCTGAATGTTTGCAGTCAGAGCTGTGTGTTTCTTAAAGACACAGAAAGCATAAAGCTTTTTCAAGGCAATTATTTGAAATTGTTGTGAGCTTCACAGTGTCATTTGGAGCTAGAAGATGCCACCATTGACCAAAAAAGTTGGAGCCTGACTGTAATCCTGCATTGTCCAGAGCAAAGTCCCTCAGCCTGATCTGCAGAGTGCCTTCAGCAACTATGGGCTGAGGTGTTCCTAATCCTTATATACAGTAACTTTTGTAAAGAAGTTACTTTACATATATAAAGTAGCTTTTGTAAGGATACAAAGTGAGGGAGAACCTAGTGTTATTAACTTTTCCTTCTGCTCACAGGATAATAAATGTGTGTTGCCTGATCTTTGTTCCCTTCTGTTTCTTTCAGAGCAGTTACTTCTGCAAGTTGCACTGAAAATAGGTGTTGGAAGTGGTGAATAATCACTTTACTTGGAATAATCCACAGCTGTAAAGAGCCAAGGGCTCAGTCCTCCAGATCTCCTTTGTTAGAGACAGGCTGGCTTTCCCCCCTGCCTCCTGGGTTCTGCTGAACATTAAACAGTGATTTCTATGCAAGAATTTTAAGGAAAGTCTTTCAAAGCACTTGAATGAGCAGCGAGGGGCAGCTGGGAAAGGGTTGCCTGGGAGATGCTGCTGGGAGCAGCTGAGGCAGGGTGTGACAGCATGGAAGGAAGTGAAGAAGGCAGGATGCTGCTCTGATCTTCCCTCCCTCCCTGCTGAGTGCAAGAGTGCTGGTCCTGCTTCTGGCAGCTCAGGGGATGCAAATGTGACCGAGTGTGTGAGCACAGGACTCATTCTGCTCACCACAGTGCCCTGGAGAGCCAAACTGGGAGTGCAGCCTGGGAATCAAATGCTGTGCATTGTCCTACACTCCGCAGTGCTGTTTCCTCAGGGTTTTCACTGGGGACTAAAAGGTGTTGCCATCTGGGCATGCTGTAGCACAGGGAGCATGTAGGGCTCCTGCAGCATCTCTAGAAACTCTGGTAAAATTCTGTTACATCACTTTGAGCAATCTCAGGACAAATCTGGCATTCCAGGGAGTTTATTGCCTGTTCCTTACTCCTCTGCAGAGCTCTCACTGTTCTGGTTATTCCTGTCTTCTGGTGCATGTCTTGGGTTCCTGTGAGAACTGTGAGGAGATGCTGAAATACGCATCCAGAAATCCAGAGGATATTCTGGTTTACACATTGAGATGATCACTATTGCATGTTTAATGAATTAATTTTCTGGATGTTGCTCAGCTTGCAGCTCTGAGTTTGTCCTTGCACTCTTTCAGCGCCTGCTTGAGATGAGTTTTGCTTGAAAATGTGAGTGTTTTCAGGCTGTGGAGAATGCAATTAGGATGCTGCAGTTAGGTGTTGGCAAACTGTCCTGTCTGGAGTTGTGTGGGAGGAAAAATGGTTTCTTGGTTGTGTGACCCCAATGGGGAGAAAAGCAGCTGGGGTTTAACAAAGTGCTTAAAATCATATAGGCCCCCAAATCCTCCAGAGATTTCTCTCCTTTCCTAGAAGCTTCCTTTAACAAGCTGATTTCTCAGGCTGATTGCTTGCAGATGAGATCATGCAGTGTGTTTTGCAGGGAAAGAATCTGAACTTCGACTGGTAAGCCAGAAAGTTTTAACACGCGAGTCACATGCCCGGTGTCCTCATGGCACACAAAACCCCAGAGGCTGCGACAGGGCGAGCTCAGGGTGGCTTTGTGCTCCAGCAGGAGATTTCTGAGCACACAGAATACCCAGGGATGCTCCCAAGTGCTGGGGCTTGCTGCTTGGACAGCAATGGGAGATGATGGCAAGGAAGTATTTCATCTTTCCTGAGCTCTGTTTCTCTCTTTAGTGTGTGTGCGGTTGGGATAAGCCCAAGTGAGGGAAGGCTCTCATCTGCCTTAATTCCACAGAAGTTTTGTTGCTGGCTTCAGCAAAGGAATTTATGTAGAATTGATGGTGTTTTTTCTCTTAATGCATGAGAACATTCAGAACAGGGAAGACTTGATGGTAGTGTTCTGCTGCAGAGGATCCCAGAAACCTCTGGTCTCGCTCTCAGAAAGGATTCTTGTTTCCATTTCTCTTGATGGCAACTGGGTTACTCTTCCAAAATAATCACAGCCATAATTTGAGAGTGTTGAAAATTAAGCAAAGCTGTTCTGAGGCGATGTTGGGTGGTGTTCCCAGCACAGCAAACTTTTGTTGCCAGTAGCTTTAAAGTACAACCTGTTCTCACAGACAAGGTAGGAAGGTGCCTTTCTGATGCCAGAGCCTCTTTGTGCCTAAAATCACTTCTT